CCAGCCAGCCCTGCCCCCTGGTTGGCTGAGCTGGCCACACACACACACACACACACACACAAATAAATAAAATTTAAAAGAAATATATTTTAAAGAAGGATATCCTAAGTAAACTGCTGACAGTAGCTACAGTGACCATGAAGACTCTTCTCTCAAATTTCTTTTTAAGTAGCTATTTCTATTTTGTATTCACAAATCTAAATTACTATAGAAGGCCTTGTCAATAAGATACCTAAATTAACATTTCAGAAGTACTAGCTTATCCATAAAGAACATAACTTCTCAACATATACTGAGAACAATGTCCTAGCATGCCTTCCATCATCTTTTTTTTTTTTCAAAACTGGGGCTTGATCTCAGGCCCTTTACTGAGCTATCTCCCCAGCCTCCCCTCCATCACCTTAACAGAGACCAAAGAAAACAAGCATAATATTCATTATCAAGGAATTTAGACTCCAAGAGACTAAAAAAACTAGAACCTTTTAGCAGAAAAATAAGGCTAGAGAAAAAAATCATAGCTCACTCCTAAACTGTAGTAAGAAGCTGATTAAGTCTTCTTCAAATCATGTATTATCAAGATTTTATGGCTCCTAGTTGCTAAAAATTAACAAATCAGTAACTATTATGGTACCTTTAAAAATGACAAAAACACTCCCAAAAATATTTACTTGCTGTAGCACTGTTAGCTTTTTTGAAAATGTCCACATTCTAGTTTGTTAAAAGTAACACGAGTCTCCTATAGTGGTTTATTTCCCCTACTTTCTCTTTCTTTGGCCCAAAACAACATTTTTTTATATCATCACATAAGATTTCTAAAAGTTAACTTTTTATCATTCTAGCTTTACAAACTAAACTCACAACAGCTACCTTTATCTTCAGGAATCATAATTAACTGATTCTATGAAAAAAAACTGCCTTATAAGTAGTTAAAACTATAATATTTAATAACCAAATGATGGAAACTTTCTACTAAACACTCTTGCTGCAAACACACTAGGTGAATGTGTGTGACAGAGGGGCTGAACAGGCCAGCAAAACTTCCGTTCTGGCACTCAGGAGGGTTGGATACCCTGAAGGACTATCCAGGTAACATCCAATAAAGAGTGAGGCCAGTCACTAAACTCCAACTTGAGCAATCTTCAGTCTAATGGCACTGGGAAGTACGAAGGGATGAAGAGGCAAAACCCAGGGCTCTTCCCCCAAAAATGAAGTGTCTAGGACCCTCTCCTCCAAGGGTAAGTCAGACGGTCGCCTCCCATCCCAGAGTAACACAAGAAAAATTACCCACCTTGAACCTTAGTGCTAAATGGGGAAGAACAGACTGCATAGCCCCAAATCCATCTCCACAGTTACCTTTAGCTCTAACTCGCACTAAGTTGGCTGAGAAATTATTTTCACAATGACTGACTGGAGTTGTAGTGTCCCCAGTTGCCTGGTTGAAGCAAAAGCAAGTAAAGTCTAAGGAAATTCCCTTTTTTTGCTAAACATTTAAACTCCAAGAAGCATGAGTTCATTGACAGAAATCACAAAATAGAAACAAAGCTGCAAAAGACAGAATCAAACCCTCAAAAACTTAAATAAAGAGAGCTGAAAATATGACTGAAAAACAATCCTGTAAAAATGACCAAGGCGGAGACAAAAAGGAAAAAAGAAAGAACTTGAGACAAACATAAAAGATTTTAAAAGCAGACAAATCAACAGAATAATCACTTCAAAACATACAGCTGATTTCAAAATAATAATCACTAATTTCAAAACATACATACACCAATAAAATGGTATCAACTAGTAAAAGAAAGTATAGAATTTACATCAAACTGCAGTAATTAAGAATGAGGAAAAATAGAAATGCTTTCTGATGGTGTAAGGAAAGCCAGTGTGTAGCTTTTCACTGCTGTCATCAAATACTTGAGCAACACAACGTAAGAGGATGAAGAGACTGGCCTTGCTAGGTTTCAGAGGTGTGAACTGTGGCTCTGGGTCTGAGGGGCCACACTGTCATGATGGAGGGTATGACAGACCACAACCACTTGAGGGGAAGAGGCTGAGGAGGAGGAGCTGGGGACAAAACAGCACTCCTGCGCCTTGCTCCCAGCCCCCTTCACCCTTATCACCTTTAAGGACCCCATCGAAGGATGATGCTACCAACAGGCTAGCAAACAGCAAGAAACAAACACACACACACACACACACACACACACACGAAAATCGACTAAAAGGCACTTCTTCAAAAAGATCAGGATAGCAAGCTTTTTCTGTAAAAAGCCAGAGAGTAAATGCTGTCGGCTTTGTAGACCAGCGTGTGTCACATCTACTAGACTCTGCCACTGTAATTGGAAGTCAACCACAAGCAATTCATAAATAAATAAGCAAGCCTGGCCTGGGTTTTAAAGGTACTGTATTTATAGAAGCAGGAGGTGGCCAGACTGTCCCCACAAAGTTTACCTGGCCTGCAGATTTCTGAAAAGGAGTAAATCGACAAAATTTGGAGAACAAAAGAGAAATGTAAAGATAATATGTC